GAAACCCGGTTTCTAGCGTTATAAGTCCGCAGACATACCGCTGTGCCACTGGGGGGCAATAAATACTTCAAACATTCTCAACCTCATTTTTCTGCCTAAGCACACCTGAGTTTTCTCAATTCCAAAAATTTATAACTTTAATAATAGACTTTTATAGCTTCCAATCAATTAGAAACACAAACTAATTATAGCTATTTGATTTTGGTGGCCATGGTATAATAGTTTGCTGTAGTTTCTTCGTATGCGAACTTCATTTTCCTATTTGAATGTCTAAAGGAATTTTTTTTAAACCTATTTATAGCTCTCTTAGATAACCAGATACATTAAAGTAATTTTGGGACACCCTGTTCTATTGAATAACACATTTTGTGTGTGTGTTAGGTTAGAGAAAATAAGGGACAAAATATAAAGTTATTCCAAGAAAAAAGTTTTTGATATTAATTTAGTACGTTCTAGAGGGTCCCCAGTGGCACAGCGGTTTGTCTGCGGACTTACAACGCTAGAATCCGAGTTTCGATACCATTGGTGGGTAGAGCACAGATAGCCCATCGTGTAGCTTTATGCTTAATTACAAACAAACGTTCTAGAGGTTATGCGAATGAAACGTGAAAACTGCAAGATGAATAGAAATATTTCTATGCTTAGCGTGAAAATCACTTTTCACTTAGACTGACTAAATAAAAGCTTTGGAAATTCACAGACAAATCTTTAGTAGAAACAGTTTATTCAAAAACCCGATTTTTTGTGTATAACAAAATTTTAATGTCACATTTCGTAAAGATACACTTAGTATATTCAAAATTATAGCAAACAGGATTATGTATAGATTCACAGATATGAGGTCGGTTTTATTCAGGTATTGCTTCATTAAATCTTGGCAATTTCCACCGACATCCGTAAAATGACATAAAGTTCATCAATAGAATCCTATTCTAAGCGCGCTGTAATAACAATGAGCGTATAACTTTTATTATTATTTTTTTATGGCATAGAATTAACAGAAAACAAAATGACATTATTTTTTGTTACTGGTGTACTTTAAAGACATAGCGTCTCCCTTCCCCTGGCGGTTTATAACAAAACAAACATCAGTTGTGGACTTATGATGACTGTTATATATTAGTCATTGATTTATAATCAGCTTACAAACGTCCGTTTGTTTGTAGTCTAAATTTAAGATGTAAAAGTAAGGTATAGAAATGGTTTTACATGTGTATGAATCTTGATCTGAATCTACATTTGATTTCAGCATGAATAAATCATAATTCAGGAAAAGTTTGGTGCAAAACCTGGAATAAAGAATAATTTCTTAGTACTGGTTGATTGATTGTTTGTAGTTAAGTACTAATTTTTGTTTGCAGAAGAAACTCTTGTAGCGTTGTAACACGCAGACATACCGCTGGGCCACTGGAGGGCTTCTTAGTACTAAAATAATTAAAACAGTAAAACGGAAGGAATAAAGTAATTGTATCATCACCAAATGTTTTACAGATCGTTTTAGACTGTTTAACCTGAAACTAATTTTTGTTTGCAGAAGCAACACTCTTGTAACATTAAATGCATTGCAAGTGACACACTGTCCTTACAGGTCATATTTGGTCATCAAAAACTTGAACTACAGAGCTAACTATTTATGTACCTAACTGTTTGGAAGTCAGTGTTTTTGACGAAAATGTCTATCAAATAGTTTTAACACGGTTTCGAAATGGTGTCTTCGTTAAAAACCTTTGGGATCTGCTATAGCTATGGCTATCAG